TGGATCCAAAAATTGTGGTATCTATACACAATGGAATATTATGCAGCCATTAGAAATGACAAAATAATGGCATTTGCAGGGAAATGGATGGAGCTAGAAGAAATCATGTTGAGCAAGGTAAACCAAGAGCAAAGAGACAAACGGTTCATGGTCTCCCTGATAAGTGGATGTTAAATCCAAAATGTTAGGTGATACGACAAAATTAACAGGACTTAAGAAACAAAGAACTCCTGCTCATCTGGTTGAACCACTACTAAATAACCCCATGCTGCTGACCACATGTATGGTATATATGTGCACACCAGAGGGGAACCAGGAAGACGACACAGAACTAGACGGAATCAGGGAAAAATATACAACAGCGGGACCCATCAGCTGCACTGGACATTGACCAAAATGAACTAAGCAACTCAATGGCAGCGATGGGAGGGAGGGAACAAGTGCGAAAGAGGGAACAGCTGACACTATGCAAAACAAATGTACATACTACCCAATGTGGAAGAAATAACTGTATCACAAAGCTCATAGAACTCATACATGTTATAGATCGTGATAGACAATTTGCTCCAGGAAAGTTAGAATGTGTTTGTGACTTTAACTGAGCATCAATCACTACCCCACAATACTGTGAAATTTGGGAAATTATGTAACCAGTTAATCACAATAAAAATTTTGGAAAAAAATAAGTTCTCAGTGCCTATGTGGGACTATTAGGATGTTCTCTTCCCATTCCTCCTCTCAAGCATTAAGTCTTCCTTCCTTCCTTCTTTCCTTTTTTTGTGGTGCCAATACTGAGGCTTAAACACAGAACCTCCCCATTTTCATTGGCTTTTTTACTCAAGGTTGACTTTCTACCATTTGACTCACAGCCCTATTTACCATGTCTGGTAGTTAATTAGAGATATGAGTCTCACAGACTTTTCTGCCCAGGCTGCCTTTGAACCATGATCCTCAGATCTCAGCCTCCTGAGTAGCTAAGATACAGGCATGAGCCACCAGTTATCCCACTGAACATTAAATTTTATGCATTCCCCTGATGTCAGGGTCTTGACTCTCAGTCTTGACTGTATATTACACTCTCTTGGGGATGGAGGCGATTTTATATCATACCATGCCTAGAACTCTACCCTCTCCCCACCCAACATACTCTCTCTTCACAAGTCTGGAATGGAGTCTATAAATATTTTTCAACTTCCTCTCTCCAGTCCAGGAGTGACTTTGTATCCTAGTGCCCAATGTATACTCACTAAATATTGGTTAATTAGATGGGTGCATAAATAACTGAATGAGCAAATAAACTCTAAGTGTAGGTAGAAGTCAAAACAGACTTTAGACAATAAAACAAAAGACTTGAGCTAGTGAAAGCTTGGTATAATCGCAGACGTTTTGATTTCATAGGAAGCTGGAGAGGGAAGCTGCATCCCTGTAGCCTGGTCCAGAGTCCCACACAATGGAGAACTATAAATAGCAGCCCTGCATCGCGTGAGGTTATGTAATAGAAGGTTCACAGAACACAGCTGCCTTTATCACTCAGGCTTAAGTTGCATTGAAATGGAAACTCAGCCAATGCCCTATGTATTCGTTTCTCCAAAAGATTAAAATCTCCTGCATTTTCCCAGATCATCTATTGGTTCCTATCTCAGGCAGGGTTTCTTCTAAGAAATTCCTGTGGTCTTTCCAGATAACAAGTGGGCAATTTCAGCAGAATTATTTTTACATGTAAAGAGAATACCAGAGTTTCCCCCTGATCAAAAGAGAAGGCAGCTCATACTGTCTTTCCAGACACTGGGAATACTGACAGGGGCCTGGGTAAGGACACAGACTGTATTAATATGTTCAGTTCTTGAGGTCACCTCCAGTAGAGAGTGGATGGTCATCTGGAAACCTTTGAGGGTAACACCCAAATGCATTGTATACCATTTAACACTTAGGAAATGGATTTTTATTATTGTTGTTTTGTTGGTACTTGCTCTTGTACTTATGGCCTAAGTTCTATCCCTTAGCTTTATTGCTAAAGGCTGGAGCTCTACTACTTGAGCCAGAAGCCCCACTTTTGGCTTTTTGTTTTGGTTAATTGGAGATAAGAGTCTCATGGACTTTTCAGCTGGGGTTGTCTTTGAACTGTGATCCTCAGGTCTCAGCTTCCTAAATAGTTAGGATTACAATTGTGATCCACCAATCAATCACCAGTTTAGAAGAGGATTGTTATAATCTATAGCATAAAAGGACACCTGCCCTGGCTGAGGAAGTGATCCCAGGCTAACTGTGAATATACAATCTATCTGTCTTACTAGTTGGGATAGGGGGGGTTGGCATACATCATGCCACAAGTAAAAGGGTACACTATGGCAGAGATTGGTAGCCTTATTCTCCTTTTCTCTTGCCATCATTTTTCAGCTGAGCTTGCAGTTTATGGTAGACATGTGACCATTTGCACAGGGAAAGGTGAGCAGAAGTGGATGTCTTTGCATACTGACCTGGCCAAACACATTTCCCCATGTTTCAGCTGCCTTCTGAATGGCTAGAATGGAGCCACTCCTGGACCAATTCATGGGCTGTAGAGTCCGGGAAATCAAGTCTGCGTTGAGTGATTCCTTCAGGAGAGCCATCCTGCCAGCCTTTTCACAGCCTGGTGCTATAAAGCAAGAACTAAAATTTCAATTGTATTTGAGTCTTCATATACCACACGGTCTAATTCTTACAGCAGTTGACCTTTCCTAGCAGGTTTTATGTGTTATTACAAGTACACATGGTATTAATAAGCCATTGCAATTTGCCATCAGGGACAAGAATCCCTTGCCTGCTCTGGAAGACAAGATTCCCCTGAATGACCTATCTATCCCCAAACTACTTTTCCAGCCTGTCTTGTCCTCAGGAGATCCTAGTTATTGATGAGCTCAGCAGCCCTAACATCATAAATTCCAAAGTCAATGTTTGCAGGGTCATCTGGTCTGCCTCCAATGCAGATGAGACTGTTTTCCCAAATTCCATCTTAAAATATAAGCCTTCCAAACAAGGGCATTAGTAAAGGTGCACTGGAGGAAAATAATACTTTTCAAACAAAATTCCCATTATGCAACAGACACCTTCTTAAAATATATGAACAAAATTGAGATTTTTTTTCTACAAATTTATTTAAGAATGTTTTTCTGAGTTTTGCCAGTCTGGGTCCCTAAATGACCACATCTCACAAAGATATAAAAGAACCTCATTTTAAAATTCAAATAAGCATGCCCTAATATCATTGTCTTTTGAATTCTAATAGGTTGGTATTTCTTGCAGTGAAACACTTCCTGTATTTTGCAGAAGCTATCAATGATGATTCCACTGAGAAGCAAGAAGGAAATAAAGAAGTGGTTAAATAATCTTCAGTTTAGAAATCAGCTATTATAGATAGAAGAAAAGACTCCTGGGAAAGAAAGTGGGCAAAGAGTGTTGCGTACACAGGTTTTAGAGGTAAACTCACACTTGTCAGTAAGTCGGCAGAAGACTCAGTAAATGAAATATGAGGGAGTCTGTTGGACATCTGTGGCCAAATGTAAATGTCTGAGAGGAAAAGAGAGGAGAACCCAAGATCTCACTAAGTCTAGCTAGCAAAGGAGTGAGAGAGAAGGGGGTGGTGATGAAGAACGGTGTGGACTTGGGAAAATATTAGAATGATTGCATTAGAGAGAAGGGCTCCAGCAACCAAGCTAATGTGAAATCCATTCTCTAAAAAGGAAAACAAAAGGGGGCTGGGAAGGTGGCTCAGTGGTTGAGTGCTTGCCTTGTATGCATGAGGCCCTGGGTTCGATTCCTCAGCACCACATAAGCAGAAAATAAAGCCAGAAATGGTGCTGTGGTTCAAGTAGTAGAGCACTAGCCTTGGGCTGAAGAGCTGAGGGATCACACGCAGGACCAGAATTCAGGCCCCATGACCGACAAAAATATAAAAGGAAAACAAAAAATAATGTTAAAACTGTGGATCCTGACAGGTAGGAAAGGGTACATGTAGGTAAGAATTCTCTTTTCTCTGTTAGACAGAAGATTTGGCAGTCTACAGACCTCCTGTGATCACTTTAGAAACTGTAATTCTCTTCCTAGTCACCAAGCCAGATCCAATCTCAATGACTTTGGACAGTTTCCCAATGAGCCTGTCAGCTGAGTTTTATATACTGTTCATAAAGGAGTTCATGCGGCTTTGGTTTTAGAGCAGTAACCCTAAAACCCTAATGACCAACCATGCCATCCATAAAATGCTGGGCACAGAGCATAACATGTGTTTATTGTAAAATGGATACACTGTTTTACTAACATATTCAACATGATTTCAAACATATTCCCTCCAGGTGTGGTGGCACAGGGTTATAATTCTGGCACTAGGCAGGCAAAGGCAGAGAATCACAAATTCAAGACCAGCGTGGGCTACATAGTAAGATCCTCTTTCAAAAACAACTTCAAACAGCAGAAATACTTACCATAAGAGAAACATGTTTTTTAAAATTAACATTAAAACAAATAAAAGGACACACACATTTAAAAAAAACTGCAAAAAAGCAGGGCCAGCAGTGGCTCATAACTTATACTACTCAGGAGACAGAGGTGGAGGAGAGGGTGTGTTACAAGCCAGCCCCGGTAAAAAGTGAGACTATATCTCAATATGGCACACCCCTATATCTTCACACCTATAATCCGTTCTGTGAATGGAAATGCACAGGTAGGAAGATCATGTCAGAAGCTGGCTCTAATCAAAAACTAAAACAATGAATGAGCTGGGGGCATAGGTCAAATATCTTACTAGTAAGAGTATCTTACTAACAAGTGTGGGATCCTGAGTTCAAATCCATGCCATAAACACACACACACACACACACACACACACACACACACACACTTGTCTTCTTGTGCCTCATTCAATTTGCTTTATATATCCCCTATAGGACCAGTCTTTGTCCTAGGACAAGACTTTGATTTCAGAAAAGTGACAGTGATTTCACAAAGATATAAAGAACTCTTGGACTGTGCTGGAGCTACATGCTACCTATCCAGAGCTTCCCTGAGTTGTATGCAGGTTACAGTATGGGCTGTGTGTTATCTAATAATGCTGCGCTTGAAGTTGGTTGCCTGAGTAACCAGAATGATGTGGAATGAAGCTCCTAAGGGCTCAGGCACCTTTGTTTTTCTCCTCTCCTTTTAAGATTAGCAGGATGCCCCAGGGGACATGCTGGGGTCTCAGTGTTCCCTGTTTAATGAATGAATGGATAATATGTGAAACATTTGTAAGTCATACAAAAAATGCACAATTATTTGGTAATTCTCACCAGCTCTGAAAATGCTCCATCACTATGAATGCACATCTCCAGCTTCTCTGTGATCAAGAGGACCAGTCTGGTGCTAGTGGCTCATGCCTATAATCCTCACTACTCAGGAGATAGAGATCTGAGGATCATGGCTCAAAGCCAGTCCAGACAGGAAAGTCTGTGAAACTCTTATCACTGATAACCCACAAAAAAAAAAAGCAAAAAATGGAGTTGTGGATCAAGAGACAGAGCACTAACCTGGCAAAAAAGCTAAGCAACAGTACCCAGGCCCTGAGTTCAGCCCCAGTACTGGCGCAAACATGCACACATGCACACACACACACACACACACACACACACACACACACACACAAAATAATAACGATGATGAGAAAGAAAGAAAGAAAGAAAGAAAGAAAGAAAGAAAGAAAGAAAGGAAGAAAGGAAGGAAGGAAGGAAGGAAAGGAAAGAAAGGAAAGAAAGAAAGAAAGAAAGAAGGAAGGAAGGAAAGAAGGAAAGAAAGAAAGAGAAAGAAAGAACGAAAGAAAGGGAGAAAAGAAAGAACTCCCAAGACCAACACTTGGTCCAAATTCTCTTTATATATGTAATATATAGCTCATATAGATATGAAATCAGCATAATGAAACCCACTGAATGCTGTTTGAAAAAAGGGGGAATGAGAGGGGGGAGGAATGGGAATATAATGGAGGGAGGTAAATTTGTATGCATTTGTGGAAAAGTCACAGTGAAGTTTCTCCTATTACAGATGCATGTTAACTCAAATATAAAACAATAGTTCTCCTTGAAGGCCTTCGATCTCTCTGCAGATGCCTGCAGAAGATGAAGGACAGCACTAGGAAGGCGTAGTGGAACTGGCAGAATGGAGAAAACTGAGGGAGACCATCTTTACCTCCTTAGGCTGGGTGTCTGATGGCTTGGAAACTTACCTAACTACATTGTAAGTCAAAAGACGTTTTTCTTCATTTGTTGTTATCACAATCTACTAGAAAGAAAATTAGACTGGGGTCCAAAACCCCAACGCTTCTACCAAACTAACCAGACAGCCTTAGACAAGGAACCTAATCTCTCTGACCCTCTGTCTTTTTCTAGCCAACCAAGATATTACAGCCCTTACAGGGCCATTCCAGAGACCAAACAAGACTTACAAACCACATTACTATGTTGAATATAAGGAAATACTATTATAAAGTAGCAAATAAATACTTGTTGAAATAGACTGAAGAGGTGATATAATTCCTCTCACTAGGCATGTAATCTATATGGGCCTGTATTTAAGATGCCTTTTACGCATTCATAAATGCATCATATCACCATATGAACCTGGGAATTTCAAATGTCTGTGAATCTCTAAAATTAATGTGTTTCCAGTTATAGTTTAAGATGTTAAGTTTATGCTTTCCTAGGACATTCAGCATATTTGTTATCAAACATTTCAACTCTAAGCACTGAGTGTGGTTAGCAGTAGAATTACTCTTAAAGGCAATTTATTCCTCTTTTCAGTTATAAGTATTAGAAGTAAAGGGGATTTTATTTAGTTGTTCATCTGTAGTACTACTAGTGATTAAACACTTGGAAATGCTCTATCATTTGAGCTATGTCTCTGGCTCTGAGATCAATTATCTCTTCTTCTTTATGCTTTTATCTTTTTCCAAATCTTCTCTAGTAAACATGTAAAAACTTGTTTGTGATCTTCAAATATTTTTTTAAAAAAGCATGCTTTACAATTGTCTTACTTCTATGTTGGACTGAAGGCTGCCCATAGGGCTTTTTTTTTTTGCGGGGGGGGGGG